TTATATTGACCACTTTTGCAACCTCCTAATGACACCTCTAAGTGTCACTATCTGCGAGAGTGTTAATCCATATGACTTCTACTTGATGAATAAGGTGAAATAGGAAAACCCTAAGCCGTACGGCGTAATGACTTCTGGGGATTTTGCGATCTTTATGGCGCAGAATCGTAATCAACTCCTCACCTCAGATAAATACACAAGCGCTGTCGAGCGCCAATAGGCGCCGCATGAGTTGAGGCGTGATGTAGGCGCCCACCCAGATGCTCAAACAATTGCTCAAATTCGGCAGGCGTCAATCGGGTGTATTGTAAAAATGACTCCGGTGTCTGTGATGAGAGGTATTCGTCGAAATCGCGAAAGCGGGTCTCCAGAAACGGCACATGCTCTGGACGCACGTACGTACGCCGCTTTCTTCGCGACTCGTGTAGATATTCGAGAACGTCCACCATTGTGTCAATGCAGTCCAACATCACCAATACCTCCTTCGGATTGCTCACTGCCATATTCTGAAACAGTGTGATGTAATTATCCATAAAAATTCCAAATTGTTCAATAATATCGGTATATACTCTCAATCCAATCAACGCACAACGAATGTTCGCCCGTATTCACCAAGGCTTTCATACAGAACAAGGAAATTAGCAAATAAGGTCATTAAGAGCCAAAAATCCATTCGAGTATGCTGGCTCCTAATTTTGATAATAAGTAGAAAACTCTATTGAGATTCAGTATAACTTAATAGTATCTGTAACTAGTTTTAATGAGCTTGCACATTATTGAATGTCGATGACAAACTTCAAAAGCTGAGATGGTCAATTAGTAGCTTCTTTCCCATCGAAAGAGATATAATCTTTGAAAGCAAAGATAAGATTCCAAATATCTCAAGTATCCACAGAATTTGTCAACTATCACAAAATGTGCAGCTTAAGCACTCTATTTTCTTAGCTTTGAAGATAAAAAGTTGAAGAAGAGAGATATTGTGGCACGAAGGTCGAAGCCTTTCAACAAGAAAGCCGTTTTTCGATGATTGGATCATTTCGGAGTCAGAGGACTCAACATTTTTATAAAACACAGTTTTCGCTACACCTCTAAGGGCATTAAAAATTTTTGGAAAATAATTTTAGATTGACAGTCCAGAATCATTCTCACGCGACCATGGCAACCTCGTAAGCCAACAATGCATTTGGTAACCATCGTGGATAAACTCATGGTTTGATATACTTCTTTGACAGGCAAGAGCGAGGTTGTTGATAATAGATTTATTGGGCACAATGATACAATGCAATAATGATACTATGATTGACGTTTCGGCGTCTTAGTCTTATTAGAAGCCTGAAAGGTCAAATTGATTCGCAATGTACACAGTCAAATACTTTCATAACCTTGACCTGAGGACGTAGTAAACAGAATTTTTGATTCACATAATAAAAAGCTTCTTTTCAAAACACTCATCGTCAAATTGTTTTTAAGTCATTCAATCACTGACTGGAGACAAGCTATTTAGACTTTTCCATGAAACAGAAATGCGCCTGGCTCAGATTAGGAAAAATTAGCCCGTGGTATGATGTGGTATGATGCGAGGTCACGAGTAATTACGGGATACTACTCGCTGAGGCTCATTTCTGGATTTTTCATCTATCCAAAAAGCTTCAAAAGTTTTTCGTGCAGATGTTTTCGATTCCTGTACGACCATAGTGACTTTGCCGTCAAAATTTTTTCTGTTATGCTCTTGTTCCCTAAGCGTGCTTAGTGAAACATTTTGCTCGGCCTTATCATCCCATACGAGTAGAAGGCATGTATGCTTATGTTTACTAAGTATTAGGTCGTCCCATGAGTTTTGGCACTGAGTAGTAAACATCAGATTTATCAGCCAGAAACGATTAAGGTCGCATGATTTTGTTATCGTTCTGTTGCGCATTTCGTTGCGCACATTTCAGTGGGCAGCTTGCCTACCCATACTTGCTTCGAGACGGATCTGTCGTGGGGCAAATTCGCTTGCTACTCATGCACGAATGGCGCGTGGGGGAAAATGCTAGTGAAGCGACGCGTAAGATTTATAAACTTTTCTGTGGGCGGTCCCAGCGTTACTGATTCTCCAGACTGTTCTGTTGAGCTTTCAACTTTGCGAACTACTCCACGGTCGTCCTTTCTGCAACTTTATCATCGCCTCAAGCCCCATTAATCTCACGCGCAGCTTCATTAGCATTTTCCCTTACGCGTCATCTATACATGTGTATCAAGCGAATTTGTTCCCACCACAGATCGATCTTAAACCAAATACATGCCAAGTTGTATACCAAAATGTTCGCAAGTAAATGTGCAATTGATAGATGCCAATATCATGCAATTTTAATTACTTATGATAAATAAGTTTAGTGTTTAATGCTCTAAAGCCAAGACTTATGCCACGACCTAATATTACTATGACAAGTCCTGTAAAGACTTTGTTGTTAGTGTACAGAAGTGCCATGAAGCTCTTAATGTGTAGGTTTTGGTGTCTTCTACACTAAAAAAATTCGTACAGCATCAATTATTTGAGTCATTGGAATAAAAGTATAGTTTAATTACAAAAAAAAAGCAGAATTACTACAAGATTTTGGAATCGCATACTTTGTGTAGTAGGCTCAAACCGCGACTAAATTTTTCCGGAAAAACCCCAGTAACATCGAGAACTTCACTCTTTTTTCTGTGCCGTGATTGAACCGCATCTCTATCTATCACACGAAACATCAACTTTGAAGTTTAACTCGTATCTCAGTCTTCTTGTGGTTATGTTTTACTTCGTATCGAGCCGTTAGAATTGAGCTGATCAGTAAGTGGAAGTCAACATAAAGCTTAATTTCTAATCGAATCGCCAACCAATTAACTTATCCAAAAAATGGCCAGTGATCTGTTGAGCTCAGACAAAGGGCTTTCCTAATATCAACGTTCCTACTTTAATCTGCTGAATTGCTACTGAACAAATTTACATACTTGGGAGAAAGTTCAACTCAGTCAACTGAAACTAGACTCAACATTGCCCATATGCTCGTGAACGTGTTGATAAAATACAAAATCAGTTGATATTTGCACTTAGGATCAAGTGCGACTATTTAAGCACATGCATTGAAATCAGTGCGTGTCACCAGGGATGTGTTGAGCGAATGAAGAAAACTAGACATTCACAGTAGGATTACCATACAATGAATGATGGATTTTCAGACATACAGTGTTGAAACAGAGTGGGCAGTTCATTCAAAATTGGTCTTCTATTCGCTCTAAGGCCTCCCTCTCCAACATATCAAACACTACTTCTGAAAAAAAAAACATGCTAAAAAAAATCTCTATCTCATAAAGAACGATGTCGTCTAAATAACTACAGAAAATTTGAAACTTTGAATTTTGTATGCCATCATGATTGCGGTGAGCTTCATCGATGCAATACACCAAGGTTGAGGAAAAAGTTCCTTAATAACCGCGAAACCAAATTTTATGTTTGTTTCACACAGCATAAGCTACTCTAGATTTGTGGGAATAACCCAAAAGTGCTTCATAAGAAATTGCCGCGGTAACGCTATCTATAATGCATCAAATTTCAATATATCCGTGTCCGATATTGATTCCTCGAAAGCAGGCGCTGTCTTAGCAAGATAATTCCAAACCTAACACCGCAGAGAAGACTAATAAAAAGTATGATGAACTGGAGGGAGTCGAGGCCTTGCCGCACCCAGCCTACATTCCAGAAGTGCGCCATCCGAGTGTAGTTCGCCTTTATGATCAAAGGAACATTTCCTGCGTAGGCGTCAATTCGAGATATTTGATCAAGTTCAAGCAAGAAATGGCGATTTCGAGCAAATCCTAAGGCTTGCAGATCCTTGGCAGAAAATCTTGAATAATGGTGGTCGTTATTTTGAAGACTATTTGGTGTTGTTCTTGATTTAATTTATGGGTGAACTTTGAACTTTCAGCAGGTGTTAAGGAACTTTCTCCTCAACCCAATATGTGCCTTGGGTGCAATAATTAAGTACTCATGCTGCCTGTATCCTATTGCCTTCTGTTTGTCACCGCCAAGAGGGTTTTTTTTAAACACACTTTAACGGAATTAGATATTGCATAATGCGGAATCTTTTCCAGGAATCAGTAAAAAAAAGTAGCAGAGAAACAGACACAAACACAATTTTAGAGGAAAAATAACGATTAATTTGAGTAGCTACGACTGTAGGAACATAGTCGCATTTGCCCAAAAGAGCATATATATGCTGAATGATCGAGAAAACATTCTTATTGAACGAAAATAAGCTAACTGTGTAAATTTGTGAGAGAAAAAGAATCGTTACTTGAACTGAGCAGTTACTATATTATTATTTATTTCTTTTTTATCTACACAACTGACGTCATAGTTTACTGTACGGACCTCAGAACTTCTAGCACTCGATCTTTCCTCAAATTTGTTATCCACAAAGATCTTCGAACATTTCACGTGTTCTGCAAGGTGCTCATTGAAGACTTCGTCTTCTGTGTGAATCTCGTGGAATGCTGGTCGAGACGATTCCCTTTACAATACTGGAGGTAGCCGAGCTAAGGTGATCCCTAGAGAGTTCAGTTGACTCATTGCGAGAGAGTCTTGAGAAACGGCAACGAACCATGGCTTTGATATCACCATGTTTCCTGATACACCACATTACTAACCATTGCGATACATTGCACCAATAACAGGTAAAAAATAGGAGTAATAAAAATGTCATCAATAATAATAATATTAATTTAGTAGTATCACAATCAATAATAATAAAAAATGGCAACAATAATACTCCAGATTTCTTTTCTTTTACTGCTTTTTCGCAGTATTATAATGTTGGAAATATAACCTAAGAGAATGAGTGGGTGAGCGAAAATGCGACCTCGGGCGGGATTAGCGTGTGCTATCACAATTTTTGTGTTCAACCGACCAAACTGTTAAAGGTTGGTTGGTGATAGCTACGATAGGGATATATCGAACAAAGAGCGATAGGAAAGCGATCGCGTCAGTGGTGTAGTGGTAGCAAGCGCCTCCGTCAAGGGCGAAACGCGGGTTCAATTCCCGGCTGGAGTAGAGTTTTTGTGTAACATTCGATCTTCTTAAATGTATATTCCTATACTCTGCCTTTGCTATAAAGCAGCAAAATGAAGAAATTTAGACTATAAAGCTACGAATGCAAGTACAGAGTCAATACATTGTTACAGAGAAAAAAAAATCAGCATATAAATTATGAACAAAGGCACAGAAATGAGGCCTGAATGTGTTGATAGCTGAAAATTTTCCAAAGCTTCGCTCTAACAGCGGGAAAAAAACAATAATAGGAAAAACTCCACTGATAAGGCAAATCAAAGTTCTAAGATGGGGATAAGGAAAGCGCAGAAATTGTGAATTTGGGCGGTCGACAAGTGGTCGTCGTCAGTGGAAAACTGAACGTGTAGCGATCGATGGGGAACGAGCAACACGGTCTAGCCGTCGGTGGGTGGTCTGCAAGGTGGTTCAGCTCCCGATCGATCCTGGGCCACCACCCACGAGCGAAGCGGGTCGCGGCTGGGCCACCTGGATCATGACGAGTATAAACGACTTTTTTTTGCCCGCCACTATTTTTTAGTTACTATAGAAAAAATAATATCAATAATTATGATACCTTAATACTGTATATTTTATTCTCTACTACTGGCTTGTACTATTGTTACTAGGTTGGAAAGGAAGTTCTGAGGAATTTTGATAAATATGAGGTAACTCCCACGTTTATCATGGGAATATTACAGTTTCTTATGTGGGATTTTTTCACTGAAGGCCTAGGTATTTTTGTCTTCATCTTCACTTTGTGACAAGTCTCTGCCATGTCCAACGATACAATCGAAGTTCGTGTTTTATTGTGTGATTATTGGAGAACGGGTCTTTTACAGCGAGCTGCGGTCGATGAAATCAACGAACTTGAACGGGAAAGCATAAAAAGCAAATCTGCTGCTGGACGAGCGCTTCTTAAAGCCGAAAATATTGACTTCGAAGACAAGCCACGTTTAGCACGTTAAACAATGTGGAACAACGAAGATTTGATTGCTGCTTTGTAAGATGAACCGTCGTCAAGTGCTCGCGAATTGGCAACTGAACTTGATGTTACTCATACAATGTGTTAACTCATCCATACTGCAGTCCATCCCACTTTGGCCTTTTTCGATCAATGCAACACTTTTTGAAGGAATGCTGATTTGAATCGTTCGATAAGGATGGAGAAGCGTGACGAGAGTTCTTCAATTCGATGTCGAAGAAATGAATTTGAAATCCTTACTTCGACCAGTAAGCACTTCGACCAGATCCGAAACATGGCGGAACGATGGTAGAAAGTCGTAAACAACGATGGCCTTTATTCTGAAGAATATTTGATATTGCTTTTGTTTGAAATTTATGCATCGATTTTGAGTTTTTTACAAGCGCCCACAACTTTCTTAGGAACTTAATTGCTTCGCATTTCGATGATCTGTTGGATCATTCATTATAAACTCATATTTCATTTAATTTAGAGATTTCTAGCAATGGTATGATGTTGAAATATAGATCTAAGGAGATTGAGTGGTACGCAAAATTCGACCCCAGGTGGAAAGAACCCCCGCTTTATCCATACCCGAAGCGTTTGCTGACACTACAACACCAAGGCCAAGGCTTTGTGAGCACTCTTTCTTCGACAAAAACTATGGAAGCTGTCAGCGACCAACCATGGGGGTTAGAGCCCGGGTTCAACTCTCGGCTGAGGCCAAATTAATGTGTACCACTAAGTCTTCTTAGAAGTATATTTCAACATTACTCCACTGCTAATGAGCATATATAGATAAAAGAAATATAGATTTATACATATACACAGGATATAGTGGTAAAGTCGATGTACAAAGTTTTTGCAGAAATTTTGATTTAGTAAGCATTTTGAAGCTTAAACTATATAATATCTGAGAAGAAATGATTCAACAGAAAACAGCTAGAACTCAAGAAACAAGGACTAGAAAAAATGAGGAGAAAGGTTGAAAAATTAAAACCGGTGAGATTTTAGTTAGAAAAACGCAAAGAAAATTTGGACATTAGTTTGTAAGACTTAACACAAGGAAATAATACTATGTAGACTAGTAACAGAGAAAGCAGGGAGGTGAGAACAAATACCGGAAAGCAACCATGGATCTGAAAAGCATAAGAGAGTACGTTCTGTACGGCTTCACACAATCGTAATCACTTTGATTTTATCATCAAGCCTACATGTTTCACTTTAACTTAAACTTTTAGGACAAAGCTTCACTAGTTGGCTATGGCAGTGAATTCTATTTTGCAATAAACTGCTTAGCACAGAAACTTACTGTGTTTAAGTTACTGAAGTAGTGACGTTACGGCATTAACATCCAAAAATCGACATTATATGTGAGAGATTCAGTATTTTCAATGGCCTTTATTGTTTTTTTTTTAAGAGGATTCCGACTTTTACATCATCCGTGAGCGGTCGGTTGCTTTTCTTTCCTACTTCTGCTTTTGATTTTCGTCTAACATTATCTCCGAATCAAGAAGTAGGAAGCCCGGTCAAAAATCCATCGCCAAAATACATTTCTTGGAAACGACATCGCGAAGACCTGAAGACGCCCTTGCAAGGTTACGTTAGGAAACCAAGGAATATCTTACGCAAGACCAGCAATATACCGTTTGAAATATGTGGTGGAGTCCACACAACTAGTGAAAACGGACCATCCAATTGTCTAAGTGTCTAAGTTTTGGAAACAACATTCACAAAGTTGATTCTGTTGATGACATGGTGACATCATGTGCACTTTTGCGGTTTGATCAAGAATTTATTGACATGTTTTCGAACAAATGAATTTTGATCAACGAGACGTCGAAAAAAACCATCAGGTTGTTCGATCAACATTATGTGCGACAACTTTGAGGAATTGGAACGACGGAAAAGTGCTAGAACTCGCATGTGTCAAGTCGGTCTGATAATGATATGCCTAGAAAGTGGCGAGTGGTGCAGTGATTAGAAGTGCCCTGCGACACAGACGAGCTCGATTGTCGCATCCAGCGCTCAAGGTGCACCAAATATTCCTCCCTCTCTGGAATAGTGACTTGGCACCAGATTTGTCTTCGAGGATAGCAGCGCTGACTTTATAGATCGGTAAGCCACCGCGTGTCATTGTAAAGGTCGGATATTAATTTGATCACTTCTAGCAATGCTTGATAAAGTCGACGCAAGACGCATCTATCGAGGATTAACCAACGCCGTAACATTTGCCCCTTTTTTGGGTCTTGCATTCGTTTCCTTCAAAGTAGCTTCAAAAATATCTAGCTTGAATGTGATGCAACACATCTGGGGTCCTCCATAATGGTAGTCTCTTTCGAAGTCAACATCTTTTTTGTTTAGCCGAAGTATGGTTTATACTAGATGTTGCCGTTGTTGTGATTGTCATAGTTGCTGCCGTTCAGTGGCTGACGTTTTGATGACTTTGTCTTCTTCAGTTTTCAATCTTATGTTCTTTTACACTATTCGTGTAATTCGGTGGATTATCGATCGTATTTGAGCGAAGTATTGAGATCAAACGGAGAAAAGGCGACACTCCTTGGATGATAAAGAACGCATTCGTCTTTATCTTTCATCTTTGGTTTGAGAATTTAAGTAGCGAGAATATACTAGTATACGATTTCTTCTTTCATCTTTCACAAAAGAAAAAGAAATCTTCAAAAAGCGTGTATTGGAGGACAAGAAATATGTGCATAGGAGACGAGGAAAAGAAGGATAAACTTGGCTTGAGTTGTGGTCATTTCCGATCTCGTGACTACGAACATCAGCCACTCTAAAGATAGATTATGCTCCATAATATGATTTCTATGTTAATTAAGACTCCTTTCAAGTTGCTTTCTATCATTATGTTCAAACAGAGTAATAGCGTTTTATAGATGCCTAAAACCATTTGGTCATAAGTTTGGTGGCAGTAATTGAGCTTTTAACTACTACCTTGAGCCATCAATTGGCCCACATTTGCCTCTATGATCGCTTGCAGAAATCAGAAAGCTGTCTGATGTGCCCTTGAGAAAGACAATGGTTTTTATGAATTTCGGTTCGCTATAGTGAGTTTATGTAAGGCATGCGAGTATGAATACATAAACAGAACGAATAGACCAGTCTGAAATAGGGTTCTTCCTTCAAATCAACGATAAGCTATACACGAGCTCACATGCGAATTCTTCAGAGCTTCGCAATGAGGGATTCTACGTCGGGAAACATTTGTTCAAATCCTTTAAAATGGTTCCCAGTCAAAAAAATTGAGTGAAGTATTTCCAATACAAAATTCTCATTGGAACACCTGATTTGCCGACATCAGCTAAGCAAAAACAATTCATAACTAACAGCAAGATATAGTGGACGTTTGCGAGGTAAAAAACTAGCCGGTCTAAAGACGGCAATTACAGCTTTAGACTTTTCCAGTATTAAGTCTCATTGATTTAAATATACATTTTTGCACTGCTATTCCTTTAAAGTTTTCTAGACATCCTTTTAGTTCTCATGCTGATCCGACTGATTAAATAGCAATCCCACAATTTTTACTGCATTTCTCGTTCATCTGCTTTAAAGTAGAATCTTACGACCATGTGTTTCTTCGCGATTGGCAATCACGTACCTGTTTGGTTTCTTCAGTGCCAACGCAAGGTGTAAAACAAGCTCATATCAGATATACGTCGTCAATCTGGACGTTACTTCGCGCTGGCACAGCAGTTCATTATCCCTCCAACAACATTTGCATCGACACATCCCATATGTTGAGCAGCAGATGCTGTTGTAACTCCATTTCTGATGATTTTCCAGTAGACGCAATGTTTTCTTGAGCAAAAACGGAAAAAAGATGAACATTTTTACAACTCGACCAATACTCTAACTGAAGTAACCGTTCCTTGGAACACAGTACGGCTGCTACTTTCTGAGCGGTTGAAGGGCTATCGTGGGACGAGACTTGTGGTCAGGGATATCGCTGCGGGACCGAGACAATGGTTGCGCCGCCCACTCCAGCGGCGCGGCGGTCAGTGTCTAGTCGAACTGACGTTCTGGGCGGTCGTGTGTCCTCTTGCCTTACTCCGCCACTGTTCTTGCCTTTGGTCCTCCGCCTCTGTTCTGCCTCTGCTCTTGTTGCTGGCATAAGAAGTGGTCGTGGTCCACCTTGTCCATTGACTCTATCTTCGATTGATTATTATTGTTCGTATTGTTTACGATGTTCATATATTCCGAGCGGAGCTGGTCGACAACGGCGGCGGGCCAACCCCGTGTACGCTCTGGTTGACCCGCCACCGGGGAATGGGTTCCAGCCCATGTACATAGACTAGGTTTCCGACACCCCACTAGCTCCCACACCCACCGGTGTTCTCTCCAGTCCCGGAGCAATCATAACTGCACCCCAGGGTTCGCTGCCTAGTCAAGCTCCGCCATCGTAGACAGGTAGGGAGCCATTCTCAATTTATGTGATTGTATCACCGTTCAGACGGAGCGTTATTATGTCATGTGTTACTGCTTAGTATTATTTTATTTATGTACATTATAGGTTGTTTTTGATACATTCAGTATAAAAGAAGTGAAGTTTGTGCTCGTCTCCATTGCAGTACAACAAAAAACCACTGAATCTACACCACATCTGAAGCATTGGCCGGGAGTCGAACCCGGATCGTCCGCGTGGTAGGCGAGCATTGTATCAGTGAACCACCAGTGCCATTTCGAAGGCCTCCTTGATACTGTTCTCTGTCACGACTACCAAAGCCTTAGTATCCCTATTTTCTTTCGGAACGTTCTTGACGAAATTCTCGTCCAAAGTCACATCGATCGCATTCTTTTCTGCTGTTTCCTTCATTCTCTTTCGGTGCGGTATTGATTAAGTTCTCTTCCGAAACGCTCTTAATCACACTGCCTTGCAAGGTTTCAGTCATACTCTCTTTCGAGGCGCTTTTAATCATCTTATCATCTTTGATCATGCTCTCTTTCAAAAAACTTTTAAATTTCTCTTTTGAGACTTCGCCGACCACATTGTCATCCAAGATTCATTTACGCTTTCCACTAAAGCACCTTCGACCAGTTCTTTTTCGGAGGCTTTCTTATTCATGCTATAATTCCAGAGGCTTTTGACTGAATTCTCGTGCAAAGCCCAGTCCACCATATTATCTTCCAAGACAATATTGACGAGCTCCTCCCAAGCTCTCTTAAACAAAAAGTTCTTACGAATGCTCTTCTTCGCAGCACTTTTAGAAGGTTGCTCTCGCAAGAAGTTCTCACTCACGCTCTTCTTGAGAGCATTTTTGACCGATCTATCTTCTGATTCCTTGTCGACCATAATCCCTCCTGACGTGATAACACTTTTGGCCTTCGAGGCATTCTTGCCGGTTTTTTTGTTAGGAATTCTCATTCTCAATCTCATTCTTAGTCCTTTTGACCACATTGTCTTTGGGAGCCTTATTCACGCTTACCTTCGGATGAATGTCGACATTTTTTTCTCAAGCGCTTTTTGGCCAGATTTTTCTTCGAAACATTCTTGTTCATACTCCACTTTGACACGTTCTTAACGAACTTCTTTTCCGAAATCTTTTTGAGCACATTTTCCTCATAGGCCTTGATGTTCAAGCTCACGTGTGAGGCACTCTTTTCCATAACCTTCTTCGAAAGCTTTTGATGTATGCACTCTTTGGGAACTTTTTCAGTCATCTTCTTCCCTTTAGCGCTCCCCGTCAGAGTATTCTTCAACTCATCCTCAAACACGTCCTTCTTCAAGGTTTCATTTACCAGTTTACACTCCAAGCCTATATCAAGAACGTTACTCTTCAAGATCCTCTTTCTCCTATCTTCCCTTGGGTTAACTTCAAAATTGTCCTGCGACACTTTCGCCAGTGTGTTTGTTGTTGAAAATTGCTCAAATGATGCCCTGAGTTCTTTAGCTTTTCGTGGCGGCTGTATGCACAGTGATGGTGATTTCACGGAACTATTAGAAAACGCTCTATGTTCATATTTTATATCATTCACTGTGATTGGTGACTCAAGGTGTGCACTCGGCTCCGGTGGATCAAAACTTTAGTTGAAAAGCGCGTCACATTTGAATCCACTTGCCATATTGCCATATTCTGCGAATTCAACGAGGAAATTTCCTTCACAATTGTAAATTTCAGCCTTCGATGTTTCCACTGAAGCTTTTTCCGTTTCGCGTTTCTTCAAAAGTTCGTCACGCACTTCTTAAGACAAACCTTTTCTTCGGACTTGTTTTAATTACCCGGAACTGACAGCATATTGGGATGTTGGCAAGACATATGGTACTTCTCTGAATTACACTTCATACTGCCTTTTGGGTAAGTGTTCAGTGACGTTGCAATTAGTTACCCAAGTTTAAGGCACCAATTTTTCATCCTACTAATTTCCTTCACTAGAACACAACCTCAGCTTGGAATTACACATTTTAACCCCCGGACCAGTCGTGGCACATATAGGACGCGTCCAACTAGGGATCATCATACAGCTCAAATAATATTTCGCTCTTGAACTCTATCGCAGGCCTCCACAGGTGAGGGCCACCTTCCATTAGGTCCCCGGCCGGTTCCGCAATTTAAAAAACATGTATCTTTATATGCTCTACTTTCCTACTTTTTTTCATCTTTTCTCACAATTCACTTTGATCTTAGTCATATGCTTCATCTAAATATCAATTACAGGTCATTCTCTTTCTCTTTTCTTTTCTGCAGGACGGGTTCAGGCCACTCAAGCCATTGGCAGCGGTCACCTTTTACGGGAACAGAAGGATTTAGAAGTTTTCTCTTTTTCTTTTCTTTCGTGCATTTCTTATGCTGTTCGTTTAGGCTGGAACCGCTCTACCTAATGATCGCTCGGCGTGGCCGGCCGGAGTGTAGCAACCGTTCCGTGAGAAGTGTGATTCACATAATTACGATATGTCTTCCGAACATCCCAATATGCTTTCACTCCCGGATAATTACAACAAGTCCGAAGAAAAGGTTTATCATAAGAAGTGCGTGAGAGAACTTTTGAATGAAACGCGAAACGGAAAAAAGCTTCAGTGGAAACATCGAAGGATGAAATTTACAATTGTGAAGGAAATTTCCTCGTTGAATTCGCACAGAATATGGCAGTATGGCAAGTGGATTCAAATGTGATGCGCTTTTCAACCAAAGTTTTGATCCACCGGAGCCGAGTGCACACATTGAGTCACCAATCACAGTGAATGATATAAAATATGAACATAGAGCGTTTTCTAATAGTTCCGTGAAATCACCATCAGTGTGCATACAGCCGCCACGAAAAGCTAAAGAACCCAGGGCATCATATGAGCAATTTTCAACAACAAACACACTGGCGAAAGTGTCGCAGGACAATTTTGAAGTTAACCCATGGGAAGATGGGAGAAAAGAGGATCTTGAAGAGTAACGTTCTTGATATAGGCTTGGAGTGTAAACTGGTAAATGAAACCTTGAAGAAAGACGTGCTTGAGGATGAGTTGAAGAATACTCTGACGGGGAGCGCTAAAGGGAAGAAGATGACTGAAAAAGTTCCCAAAGAGTGCATACATCAAAAGCTTTCGAAGAAGGTTATGGAAAAGAGTGCCTCACACGTGAGCTTGAACATCAAGGCCTATGAGGAAAATGTGCTCAAAGAGATTTCGGAAAAGAAGTTCGTTAAGAACGTGTCAAAGTGGAGTATGAACAAGAATGTTTCGAAGAAAAATCTGGCCAAAAAGCGCTTGAGAAAAAAAATGTCGACATTCATCCGAAGGTAAGCGTGAATAAGGCTCCCGAAGACAATGTGGTCAAAAGGACCAAATTGAGATTGAGAATGAGAAGTCCTCACAAAAAAAAACGGCAAGAATGCCTCGAAGGACAAAAGTGTTATCACGTCAGGAGGGATTATGGTCGACAAGGAATCAGAAGATAGATCGGTCAAAAATGCTCTCAAGAAGAGCGTGAGTGAGAACTTCTTGCGAGAGCAACCTTCTAAAAGTGCTGCGAAGAAGAGCATTAGTGAGAACTGTTTGTTTAAGAGAGCTTGGGAGGAGCTCGTCAATATTGTCTTGGAAGATAATATGGTGGACTGGGCTTTGCACGAGAATTCAGTCAAAAGCCTCTGGAATTATAGCATGAATAAGAAAGCCTCCGAAAAAGAACTGGTCGAAGGTGCTTTAGTGGAAAGCGTAAATGAATCTTGGATGACAATGTGGTCGACGAAGTCTCAAAAGAGAAATTTAAAAGTTTTTTGAAAGAGAGCATGATCAAAGATGATAAGATGATTAAAAGCGCCTCGAAAGAGAGTATGACTGAAACCTTGCAAGGCAGTGTGATTAAGAGCGTTTCGGAAGAGAACTTAATCAATACCGCACCGAAAGAGAATGAAGGAAACAGCAGAAAAGAATGCGATCGATGTGACTTTGGACGAGAATTTCGTCAAGAACGTTCCGAAAGAAAATAGGGATACTAAGGCTTTGGTAGTCGTGACAGAGAACAGTATCAAGGAGGCCTTCGAAATGGCACTGGTGGTTCACTGATACAATGCTCGCCTACCACGCGGACGATCCGGGTTCGACTCCCGGCCAATGCTTCAGATGTGGTGTAGATTCAGTGGTTTTTTGTTGTACTGCAATGGATACGAGCACAAACTTCACTTCTTTTATACTGAATGTATCAAAAACAACCTATAATGCACATAAGTAAAATAATACTAAACAGTAACACATAACATAATAACGCTCTGTCTGAACGGTGATACAATCACATAACATGAGAATGGCTCCCTACGTGTCTACGATGACGGAGCTTGACTAGGCAGCGAACCCTGGGGTGGCAGTAATCATTGCTCCGGGACTGGAGAGAACACCGCTGGGTGTGGGAGCCAGTGGGGTGTCGGAAACCTGATCTATGTACATGGGCTGGAACCCATCCCGCGGTGGCGGGTCAACCAGAGCGTACACGGGGTTGGCCCGCCGCCGTCGTCGACAGCTGCGCTCAGAATATATGAACATCGTAAACAATACGAACTATAATAAGCAATCGAAGACAGAGTCAATGGACAAGGTGGACCACAATCACTTCTTACGCAGCAGCAAGAGCAGAGTGAGAACAGAGGCGGAGAACCAAAGGCAAGAAAAGTGGCGGAGTAAGGCAATAGGACACACGACCACCCAGAACGTCAGTACGACTCGACACTGACCGCCCGCGCCGCCGAAGTGGGCGGCGCAATGAAGAATTCACACGTGAGCTCGGGTAAGGCTTATATTTGATTTAAAGGAAGTACACTCTTGATGGTTTACATTGGCGATGGCTCGTTGCTCCAGAGATTCAGTTCACGATAACCTTTCCATCAACCTAACGTAGTATCTGTCCATGAAAACACATCTTCCTAGTACTAGAATCTTCTGCATACGCTTTATTCGATCACAAGAACACGACACTTTTCGGTTGTCCAAACTGTGAAGTACTATTATTCGCCAGAAACCTCAAAATTCTCTTGGAAAGGATTCGCGCAGTATCAATCTTGATCATGCTACCATGGGTAAAGGAGAACTTGACCCTGGTTCAATCTTGATGCTCTTCGAAGCGATTTTTAGAAAGTTCTCATTTGAGAAGTAGGTAGTATTTGGCTCGCTGAAAAATGAGGTCAGTATTCAATGCATAGTTTAAGAGCAGTTTATTTTAGGTCAGTTCAACTATTTTGTTAAATAGTATCCATTAC